AAATTTATAAATTTTGTTTGATCATTTTTTAGTTTGAATTTCAAATCAAATTTAATATATTGAAAAAAAATTTTTAAAACTTAGTGTACATTTTAAAATATAGTTACTATTATATGCAAATTTTCAGATCTATTCATCTCCTGAGCTTAGATGTCTCGAAACAGCCAATTATCTCCAAAATTCTTTGCAAAATGATAATTGCAAATTATGCGTAGATGCATCGTTATCTGAATTTTCTGTATTTCGACAGAATGCTCAAAAATATTGGCTAACTAAACAACAAGCATGTTTATCATTTTATTTTTAAACTTATTAAATTTTGGCAAAAAGTTAAAAAAATTATTTGTTTAGATTTTTTGTCCTATTTAATCGGTCACAAATGTTATTCAACTACACATATAATATGCATAAAAAATTTAATTAGTGCTATGATTTATTTCACTCACGTAAATAATAAACTATCGTTAAAGTATTTTAAATACAAAATTATTCTTTCGTACAGTATCTTATCCTTTTATAATTAGCAGATATCTGCAGAATTGTAATTTTTTAGCTACGAAAAGATGGATACAAACTAAATGATACTTATATACCGTTAATTGAAAATGAACAAATTCAAGCTGAAGAAACGCCAGAAGAATTTGTCAGAAGAATGCAGCAATTTTATGTGGATATTATTCAAAATTTTACTGGCAGGTTATTATTTTTTTGAATATAAATTTTAATTAATTAAATTCTGAAAATTTAATTAATTACTGAAATACATAAATGTTAATTTCTTGAGATAATAAATAAAAAATGAAAATCTTTAAAATGTTCTTGATGAGTATTCATAATTGGTGTTGATGAACTGATGTAGACGAACAGATTATGAATTCTTTTCAATTTTTTTCGAATCAAAATTTATTAAAAATAAATTTATTATTGAGTTTAGAACTACTTAAAGTTCACGTCATCACGAACACGCCACGTATTTACTGTTATGAATGCAAGTATGAAAATTAAATAACAATTAATTAATAGCACTTATTTAACTAAACTATAATTACATTGATTTAGTTACAAAAGTGAATTGAAAGCAAAAAATAATAAGTTAATCGTCATAAATTAATTAAATTACTCTAAATGACTGAAACATTCACAATTTAGCTTTAGTACTGAATAGAAAATGAATAAATGGTGTTAAAGAATTTCAGATAAAGTAAACGATTATTTGACCCTTGAAAAGCTTAATGTTCAAATAACTGACCTTTTGGGGTTATAAAAAAAAAATCAGTGTTGAAGAAATATTTTAGTTGTGCAATAATTGTCAGTAATATTACTGGAATTTATGTGCTGGCTGATGGAACTGCTTCATTTTACTGGGATTTGCACAAACCTCATTCATATATGAAAAATTGCCATGTGCATGTAATTAAAATACTTCCTGATGGAAAAGTAAGCAATCACTTTATTTTTTTTGTAAATTAAATTTTAAAAATTCAAAATTTAAATATTTAAATTAACTTTAAACTATTTCTTTTACTTTCAATAAATTTAATGCATTAGTCAAAAATTTTTGCAGCCATTACTGAAATAAAAACCTTTAACCTTGAAGTTTGCATTCATCTCTTCTAATATTATAATAGAACTATTTAATCCCAAAAATTGAAAATATTGACTTCATTTTTAACTTTTGCCTTATTTCAGTACTAAATTTGAATATTTGTATTTGTGATTAAATGTAAAAATTTATGAAAATTTCAGATTGTACCTATCAAAGAACCAATACTTCCATTCACACGAACATTATACGATGCTGAAGTAGGATAAAAACGCCAAATAATTTTTAAACAATGATATTATATCTCGTATTATTATTTATTGAAATTATCTGATTGAAAATGAAACGCTTTTTTATACGTGTACGCAATTTTCATTATTTCAATATGCGTAAAATTCAATGCATAAATTCTTCCCTTATGATTTTAACATTCCAAAATTATACAAATATTGGTGATCTTTAGAAATTTATTTTTAAGTTATAATTAAAAATATAATATAAAGTTGGGCTAAGATGATGATTTTTCATATTTTTACATCTTACAAAATGCGCCATTATATTTTGTTATAATCAAATTTCATACGTTGTCATAATTAGGCTGCGTTAAATTCTGTTGCAATGTCCAATCTATCTCATTTATTTGGTTATTAATCACTGATTAAGATTGATGCAGTATTTGCTTGAATGTCAATCTTGAACTAAAGTTTAGTTTGCTGACCAAGTATTATTCAAGTGAATTCACGTAATATATTTATGATTTCAAAAAATATGAAATCAAAATTTAAAAACTCATAACCAAAAACGGGAAGAATAGTTTGGTTATGAATTGAGGTGTGTATTTCTCAACTATATCAACTAACCTAAAGTCTCCCTCATTTTTAATACTTATTATTAATTAATATAAAAAGCTGATAAAAATGTAAAATAACAAGCCTTACATTGTTATAGAAATAATACATATGCATGTGATGTGATAGATCAGCCTTACTGACGACTATTATATTTGCTGAATACAATAAAACAACAAAGAATCAAACTGTTTGCCGGTGCAACGTCTACATTCCGCGAGAGCCGTCTTCTCGCCAATAGTATGCTAAAGTCCAGAAAGAAGGACAAAGACGGCAAAGTATGTATTTGAAAATTAAGTAATATGTAGCTAGCTTATGATGAGTATAGTTTTGAAGATTAAAACTACTATATTCATCAAGTGATATGATTTTATCATAATTAAAAGTAAATGATATTAATTTTAAATTGTGTTGTGATGTGATTTTTAATTTAACTATTAGTGTACTTATAAGTCTGATATTCCAGCCAGCTTTAGCTTATTTCTTAATTCAGGTTGATTTATTTATTTTTTCAAGTTTGTTTATGTATAAAATATCTCTTCAATTCAATTTTCAGAACGATAAAGAAGGAAAGAAACACGAGAAAACTCGAAAAGATTGCAAAGAAGAAAGTAATAAAATGGGAGAAAAGCAACAACATATGTTTAATGTAAACGGGATGATGGCATCAAATGAGGTATCTGCTCCTTCGTTGGCGATCGAGGTTGCTTCAGAGGAAACAATTCCGGCTGATGCTCCACCACCAACATCTCTCAAGAAGGTAATTGTCTTGAAGAAATCAGTAATTTTTATACGAGCAGTTATTATCTCATATTTTCTAAATTACAATGCATGGTAAAGAATATTCATGGAATCTAGTGGAACTTACTAAATTGTAGTTATAAAAAATTGGGAGAACAAAGAAGAATAATAAATTTAATTTTTCTCTCAAAAGTTATTCTATTCCAATATTTCACTCTTATGTAGTTTTTGCACTCAGTAATATTAAAAATGTGAATATTTTATTCGCAGCAAGCTCTTGTTGGTGGGCCTTCATTAGCCAGACGCGATCGAAGACAAAGTAGTTCTTTATTTTTGGTGTCTGCTAATCGAGAACTCTTGGAATTACCCAGTATCAGAGGTAGCATTCTGCACAGTTTAGTAAAATTTGCATTCAATTTCTCAAACTTAACATGATATGAGAAAAGCTATTTCATTCAGCTTGCAAGGTGAACTTACTATTGAATTGAAAGAGCAATTTTTTTAGATGCTGAACCTGAAGCACAGGAAGAGATATTTATTCAGAAATTACGTCAGTGTTCCGTCGTTTTTGACTTCGTTATTAATCCATTATCTGATTTAAAATTCAAAGAAGTATGCTTTATTTCATTTTCAAAAAACTCTTGCCACTTTTTGAAGTGATTATTTTCAAAAAGATATATTTTCAGGCTCAAAAGAAAGTTTTACTTTCAACCATTGATTTCTAAATTTCCAGGTCAAAAGAGCAACACTGAGTGAACTGACAGATTATATTATGAATTGTAAAAATGTCATTACAGAAGCGATATATCCAGAAGTTATCAACATGGTAATTTTTTTGCTTACAATTTTTTTTGTAATTTTCTATCAAGATCCAATTTTTATGCTTGTAATAACTGCTTCATATTTGCTGTTTGAAAGCTATATCATAAAGCGTTATGCTGTTAACTTCCAAATAAAATGATTTGCCGTTTTTGAAATTAATTGTATAACATTTCTTGAACAGATTATTAGTAATTCTGTTTCTGAAAAAATGTGGAGGCATATTCAGTCAGAATTTGCTTGTACTCTTTTTTTACAAAATTGTCGCTTCATTTAGCTTACTTGTAACGTTTTCCGCGTGCTATCTCCACCGTCGAATCCAACGGGGGCCGAATTTGATCCAGACGAAGATGAACCCACACTGGAAGCTGCTTGGCCCCATTTGCAAGTTTGTTATTATAAATCGAAATATTTTTGAATCTGTATAATGTGAGTTGTAGATATACTATCTAATTATGAAATGCTTTTTTTAAATGTTAGCATGGATGAATGCATCTAACTAATAGATTTATGTTTCTACATGATTTCTTATAATCTTATGGATTCGTGTCAATGTCTTCTACTGCTTTTCGATTACAAAAAGTAGATGGAAAATTGAAGTAACTAAAAATTTAATAAGGGGAAAAAACTTAATACCTTTTGAGAAATTGTGAATATTTCTTCGTAGCTTAAGCTTTAAAATTGGAAGTGTATATCAAGATGTAGGAAATTTAGTAAGATAACTTTTTTTATAAGCAGTGTTACAGCTGGTGTATGAATTTTTTTTGCGTTTCGTGGAATCGGCAGATTTTCAGCCAGCCATTGCAAAACGCTATATTGATCAAAAATTTGTTTTGAAGGTTTGTTTGTGTGACTAATTCATCTCTGTATTTCTTGCTCAGTTTAATCGAATAATAATATAGTTTCCGACATTTTGATTTGTTGGAATTGATGCTGTTATATATGTCTTTTCAGCGTTTTTATGAAGTCGAAAAGTGTGATTTGGATAGGTCTTATTTTGTGAAGAAAATACTTTGTCGTACTTTCCATATTTCAGCTTATTGAATTATCCGATAGTGAAGATCCAAGGGAGCGTGATTTTTTGAAAACAACCCTTCATCGAATTTACGGCAAATTCTTAGGACTTCGTGCTTATATGCGCAAACAGTTTAATAATATATTCTATACATTCATTTATGAAACTGAACGACATAATGGTATCGCTGAGTTATTAGAAATTCTTGGCAGTATTATAAATGGCTTTGCTTTACCACTGAAAGAGGAGCATAAAACCTTCCTTCTTCGAGTTCTTATCCCTCTTCATAAAGTGATTGTTTTCTCGTCAAGTAGCTGAGGCAGTAATTAGTCTGCCGAATATTTCAGTTGCATCAGTTCTGTATGTGATGGATTGGAATTAAGTTATTAGTAGTGAATCGCTGTTTATGCTCCCTTTTTTTTCAGGCCAAGTCTCTCTCTGTTTATCACCCACAATTGGCTTATTGTGTGGTGCAGTTTCTTGAAAGAGATCCTACCTTAACTGAACCAGTTATTTTGTCTTTACTAAAGTTTTGGCCTAAAGTACATAGTCCGAAGGAGGTTTGTGTTGATATAGATCTGAATTAATTGGAAATCAAATATCTGATAGTACCGTTTGCACTTAGTAGCTCAGTATTTTACAGGTAATGTTCTTGAATGAGTTTGAAGAAATTTTGGATGTCATCGAGGATGTTGAATTTCAGAAGGTGATGGTGCCATTGTTTCAGCAACTTGCGAGATGCGTTTCTTCGCCACATTTTCAAGTTAGTAAAAATATTCAACTTTTTTAAGAAAACAAAATAAGGACAAAATATTTTTTACTCGTTCAGCAACAATTTGTTTCAGATTATTTTCTCAAATAAGAATTTTAAAAAATTTAGGCTATTTTTTTTAATTGAAAATTCTGTTCTTATTCTTCTTAATCATCTTAAATATTGTTATAGGTTGCAGAAAGAGCTCTTTACTATTGGAATAACGAATATATAATGTCTTTGATTAGTGATAATGCATCCACAATTTTACCAATTATGTTCCCTGCTCTTTACCGGAATTCCAAAAATCACTGGAACAAGTTAGTTATAAAAAATGGTGTTAGAAAGGAACTGAAAAAAACGTCAAATCAGTTTTTTTCAACGCGAAATTCTGATTGTTACATGAAATTACAGGACGATTCATGGACTAATATATAATGCATTGAAATTGTTTATGGAAATTAATCAAACGCTTTTTGATGAATGCTCTCAGAATTTCAATCGTGAACGAGAGGACGAGAGCGCTAAATTGAAAGAAAAATTATCTAACTGGGAAAAGATAGAGAAGAAAGCTCGTGAAAATCCTAAAGTTGGTTCAATGTTATATCTTAAGATAGAATGATTGAGATTACTGAAATCAAAACTTATCTTTATTCAGTTAGTAGAATATTTCCACTGTATGAAAAGAATGAGTATTTAAGATATGAAAAATTGGTCGTTAGTAAAATTTCAAGTTCATTTTACTCTTTCCTCTGTTGTTTTTCACTTCGCCAACTAATCAAAAATTATTCATCTCACGTAAAATTTGTTTTAATCTGCTCTTCATGGGACGTGTAAATATTTCAGTTTTTCGAAGTTAGCGAGCAGCTGGCAAACACTTGTAGCTCTCTAGCTCTGCTTTCAATCAAAGAAGACGAAAGAATGGATCTAGATCCTACTCAAATCAAGCGACAAGCAGAACGCTATGTACTAACCATTATTTTCAATGTATTATTCTTTTAAAATATATAATTTTGACTACAAATTGAAAAATCTATATTTTTCAGGCAGTTAATCATTTCCCAGACCGACCATTTACACGTCGGAAGAGTGATCTGCCTTATGATCCCAATACTGATCGTGCTCTAGATGAGCATCGGCGGCATGATTCTTATCTACGCACTGTACCAAATGAATAATCCAAATGTGTTTGTACTTCCAAGGCAGGTTTTTGCGAAATTGCTTTGTTATATTGTGAGAGCTGACTGCCGAGAATAATTAAATTTTGCGGCAGTGCTCATTCAAAAGTAATGACCATTAATCATTTCCTTTATTTGCATAGTGTTAGTTTTTCTAATTTTTTTCAATAAATACTTTTCGAAAAGCTAGAGATAGAAATGTTTTCGTGCTGCCTATGTCGCAGTGTAACGTTTAGAACGTTTTAAGTTTTTCTAACAGTCTTTTCCTTTTTTAAAACATTCCTTGTGATTTGGAAATACTTAATTTTTATTGTCCCCAATCGGTAATATGATCTATGACTTCAGATTTTATGTGTATTGCCCAATTTCATATGCTTTGCCTTTCATATAAGAATGCAAAAGTTCGAAACAAATTCCTTTCCTCATCTTGTTATATTGTATATCTTCTATATTAGTGGATGTGATGTTATTGGACAGAATGTAATATTCCATTCTTTTTATCTATAACGTGTAATATTTCTTATGATTTAAAAATTTTTTTTTTATATTTTTTTAAATTTTGAAAATTTTTTTTCATTTTTTTAAAGGTAACTTAGTACAAAAAGAGATACAGTAATGATATTGTTACAGGTACTGTAGCCAAAAAAACGGTCATTTAATATTCTTTTGTTGGGTCGCTTCATGACTAGTAGAAGTCCGAATGTTTGAGGGAGTAGTGATGCTAGAAATTCCTTCTTATGGATATAATTTAAATGCGTAGATTAATTGAGAATATTGATCAGTTTCAGTAGAAGCTGCAGATTCGATGTTTTTGAACATTTACTATACTAAGTTTACTTACTGTTGTTGTTGCGGGACTGTTATTGCATTATTGTTGTAGTTATTTGTCATCAACGATGTTTTATCAGCTAATATTGAGATTTTTTTATTATTTGTCAAATTTGTGAATTTTGAGAAATATTCCGTCTCGGTTGTTATAAACGTATGTAAGCATGTTGCTGTAATTTTCACAGGAATTAAGTTGTTGACTACAAACATAGAATTATCTCTTATCACCAATATGCAATAGAAGTCGTTTTACTTTAAAGCTTTATGTAAATATCATTAATTTATCAGTATATTTGTTTTATTTTTGATCTATGTTCAGTATTTTTTCCAGCTTTCTCAGGTAATTCATTCAGTATTTGTTATTTTGCAGAAAAACGTTAAGAAATATTTTAAGTAAGAAAGTGTCAACAGCTATAATATGTAAGAAGTGAGGGAAACGAGATCTTGTATTATTTGCTTCAAAGTGGCATTACTCTCAAGTTAGAAAACAATTGTGAGTTAATTATTGTCTGATTATGTGAGCATAAAACGTTGTGAACAGAAAAATAACTGAATGACTAAGAAGCTATTGGTATGCTCAAAATATAATTCGGATAGTTTTATTTTCATGAAAAATTTGTAGCCAACAGTACAAGAAATCAAGTTTGTTTTCTGAATGTCTCCTTATTCTATTAAATTGTTTTTAATTCCAAGTTCTTTTGTTTTCCTAAATTTTGGTTGTTTTAATTACCGAGTGAATAACCAGCACCTAATTATTTTCACGTGGTATAGCCTTTTTCAAATAGTGATTGCGTGAAGTCTAATAATACTGGGATTACTTCAGTTTTTCGTTTTAATAAAATTGTTAGTACAGTTTGAAGATGAGAATGAATGAGTAAAGTAAAGTAGATAAAAGTGTATCTACTAACAAGGATGAATATATTTGGTTGGTTTACAACATTTATTCAACTAAAAAATAGACATCAGCAAACATCACTGATCTTGTGTTTATCTTGTGTTATTTCGTACATGTGATGTCGGCAATCTGTACGTATGGATTTTGATGCGTAAATTCTCACGTAAATATGTATATGTAGAATGAGTTTATCTTTTTTGATGTATTGATGTATTTATAGAAGTAGTAATGATTATTACTGGAAATATTCAATTTTATACAGACTACGTAGTTAGTGTGTAAGTAATTTTTGTATCATCACTGCAAGATAAGCGATGTTATGGAATAAAATACTGTGAAAGTGTTCTTTCAGTTTGTTAGTTTAAATGTAAAGTATAAGGTTAAATAATAACTTACGAGACATCGTTACATCTATGTACAATTTTTCAATTTCAAATTCTTTACCTGTAAAGAATTTCAAATTGAATTAAAAACCATTGCATTATAATATATGTAATACTTGCAAGTTTATGATGGAAAAATAAGTGCCAGTTTTGTTTTACACTTATTTTTATCACTTTTTCTTGCAATAAATTTTGTATTTTTTATTTCACAATTGACATTCAAATAACACTGTCATGATGTGCGAAAATCTACACTGCAAAGCAAAACGTTTGTTGTGATTGATAATTTATTCAGAATCACAGTCTATATTTACATTTTGATAATTCTATCTTAATATCGATTATCATAACATTGATGTTTATATTTTGATTCGTAAAATGTGTAAGATATGGCAACTAAGACGAAGAGTTATTGATTACGTGTTGTATAACAAAAGTTAATGAAAAACAACTACTAAGCATTTCTCGCGTACGATCTCTTAGCTTAATCAAAATTATGGCCGATTTTGTCCTGCAAATAATGATGAAGCTTGTATAATTTTGATGCAAAAGACTTTAATCACAAATTTTTTATGGAAAAAATTCCATCAAAATGTTTACATGGTTTACTCTACGCAGTTTATGATTGTGTATTAATTGAGAATACTTCAAAGAATTTGCTACAAGTTTTGTATAAATATGGTTCACTCTACCCATATAATGTATATGTATCTGTCAGAATATATTTGTACAGTAGCTTAGAAAAGCTTTTGCATATGTGAATAATTTTGAATATCTCAGTGCGATTCTCAGTAAAAAACAGAAGACAACTTTCAATAATATCAGTTATTTTGTACTGAAATGATAGTTTTTTTCATGAATAACAACGCTTATAAGTCAAACGTCCTTACTTCACGCATTTTATTGTGCGCATCGTATTCTGCAACATAAGTGGAAAGTATCAACAGTAATGATTTAACGATCGTGAATAGTAATTATGCAAGAATATAATCATCTAAAAATACCTAGTTTCTTATTAGATATTCTATGTAATTGAATGCATAGATCATGTTTATGCTATCCAAAAATGGAATAATTAGGAGGCAAACGAAAAGATAAAAACGATCAAGCAGTTATGATAAATGGAATTGAAGAATATAAACAATTTCCAGAGGTATAGCAAGAATGGCAGTTAATTAATTTCCCTCTGAAATGAAACAACCTAAAAAGTACCCGGATTTTGTGCATTCCATACTGTATCATTTAAAGTGAAATTTGCATAAACTTTAAGAAAGACAAGTACAGTTGTGCAAATTACGCATGTGTTTACTCGTAAAAGACGAGTATACAAGAAAATTACTACGAATTTTACACCGAAAACATTCCGCAATACGTGCGTAGTGCACGTACTTATGACGTTGCAAGCAACGTGGGTTTGGAAAAACTGGCACAAATTATGTATAACGACGAGTAGTTTCTTCATGACATTTTAAGTTATGTCTTCTCAAGTTGGATGGATGTGCATAAGCTTTGCCGCAAACTTGGCACTTATAGCATTTTTTAAGCGTATGCTTGAACATATTTTCCTTCATAGAACTTAGAAATTTGTACTTCGCTAAGTAAATATGATATGGATCTGTCTTGCCATTAACAAGTGACATTCGCTCGGGATTATCAGTGGCATGGCTATTGGCTTCTATAGCATTTTGTTGATTTGTCTTAAATCTTGTTAATGACAAATCCAAAGGTTCTGATTGTGGTGGTAGTGGAGTTACTACT